ATAATAATAATAATTATTATTATTATTATCAGAGGGGGTTACCTGTTTTATTTCACATGTTCCATTTTAAACAATTTTAGTTTATTTTTAAATGTAATATAAATATTCTGGGAAAAAAAACAGGTGTTGAAACCATTTTCATTCAGAAATGGCTAGTAAATTTCACAAACAATTAAAATTGCAAAAAAAAAAAAACAGCACCAAAAATATCTACTTACAGTAAATGTACTTCTATAATCTCTTTTTTATTTACTACTTGGAAAAGTGGGCTATTTTTTTACTTGTATATTATATACATGATATATTATACCTTTATAAATATTATATGATATCTTTATAAATATAGTTGTCACACCCCTGGACTGTCTGTCTTGTGTTTTGCTCCCTATTACCCAGTTTTTCCCTTGTTGATTATGTTCGTTGATGCCAGGTTTTCCTCGTTTTGTTCTACTTAAGCCCTGGTTTTTCCTGTGTCCTGCGTCCTGTCTTAAATCGTCCTAAGGTTCTTGTGCTACGTGTGTTAATAAAGTCTGCATTTTGTAAATTCTCCCACGTCTCCTCGCTCCTTCGCTCCTCGTTCCTACACAATAGGCAGTACCGTGACATAGTAATACATTAACAAACATAAATATATACATAAAATATAAATATAGTATAAATTAATTCTTTTTTTAATTAGTTCCACAAGTCACAAAGACAAAAAAGGTTGTAAGTATTTATATGGTTTCACATATACAGTGGGTACGGAAAGTATTCAGACCCCCTTAAATTTTTCACTCTTTGTTATATTGCAGCCATTTGCTAAAATCATTTAAGTTAATTTTTTTTCCTCATTAATGTACACAGAGCACCCCATATTGACAGAAAAACACAGAACTGTTGACATTTTTGTAATTAGTTCCACAAGTCACAAAGACAAAAAAGGTTGTAAGTATTTATATGGTTTCACATATAGTTGATGTCAGAATTGTCGAAGAAATAAGTCAAAACTTGTGTGTTTGATTTACATTTTCTTTCATGACCTGAAGGGCTCCTTTCCAGGAAATCTCCAGCTTGTTTTGGTTCTGAAACCCTCACGTCTCCTCCAGAGGGCCATGGCTGATGTCAGTATGAGGTTACATAGGGATGACTTCAAATTGAAGGTACCGGTAAGCATGCTTCTGTCTGTCTGGACCCTCGGCACATCCGTTCATTCGCCATACGATGCGCATGGCTCCCCTTGAGTGTTTGTTGTAACCATGATCACTCGTCCACTAAATTATTGACACAGCCTGTCACCCTGTTGCATTATGCATGTCTGAAAGGGTGTTAATCTACAGATAATCTCTAACCCTGTTTTAACGTCACTTTAGAAGATACAGGGAGCAGTGTTACAAAAAACATTGCGGTTCCTGCACTGTGCATTCAAGTGATGCCTTATCGCTGCGCATGAATGTGTGTAATGCAACTTTCCCACTTATTCATGTGTCTATGACTGGCATATGCTGCTGCATGAGATTATCATCTGCATGCTGCTACTCTTGTGACGTTAAGGAAATGAAGATTGTCGCGTTGTCGTGTACAGTACATACTTCAATTTCACAAAATGTCATCTGCAGATGAGTTAGATAGTTATCAGTGGGGAATTTACAAAGGAAATGTGAATGGGGCCAATATTAAAAACATTAAACATTAAAATGCTCATTGTTTTAATAGTACAGCCGTGAACAGTATGAGTGAATTTAGTGTGAAGACATGATTTTAGTGTGAACAATTGCTTACTAACCTATTTTGTGTAAAGTTATATCCCAAGTTTTCAACTTTGTTGCCATTGCAATGTAACACCATAAACTAAAAAGACTGTAAAAATGAGGATTTCAACAGTTTTACAGCTTTAATTATACACAAGTTAACGGAAGAATAAATGGAAGTGCTTTTTTTGCCATATATGCATGCATATTTTTAACAAACTCAAAGTTCGCAAGGGTGCAAATTGTGCTTTCCTGAGAAAGCATTGTATGAGTGGTTTGAGGTTGACTGTTAATGCAGTCTTCACCTGCAACATTGTTGTAATGTAGGACAAACGTTTAGTTTCTGTACCCCAAGTAAAATGAATGTATATTATGGTTAATTCTTTGTTCTTTTCTCTTTTCTTGCAGATTGTTATGCTAAATTCCCTGTCAGACTTGCATGGCTACATTGACAAAGGCCAGCTGACCTGCGATCTCGGGGGAACCCTGGACTACTGCCACAGTCAATGGATTCACCATCGCACAGTATGAAAGTTAAAAATGAATATGATATTTACAGACAGACAAAACATCAATGTACTGTATGTACAATGCAAAAAAGGCTCAGTATTGTAAAAGCAAGATATGTAACCTCCCATATATATTATCTGTTCAGACTGTGTTAAAATGTTGTGCCCTAGGCCATTGAGAACTTTGCATTAACGGTGAAGAGCACAGCACAGATGCTGCAGCAGTTTGGAACTGACCTGGCAGAAACCGAACTTCCCAATGACGTGCAGTGCACCAAAGATTTGCTCATCACACACACCGAAAAACACGATAAGCTCAAGGTAGCTCCTCACATTTATAAAACAGTAGTTCATGTTCTAAAGTTGTCGTTTGATTTCTATAATGCGTGTCATTATAGTTTTGTCCTTTATTTTATTGCCTACTGTATTTTTTATATATATTGTTATCGGTTCCGTGACTTTGGGAACCGTTTTTAAAATAGTGTGGAACAATAATACACGATCTGTATTTATCTTGATTTACTGTATTTTGCATGTATACAAATTATTTCAGTATATTTATATGCCACGTGTCCTTCTCCCTGCACAGGATGAGCTGAAATTGGCTATAAAGCAAGGAAATACTATGCTGTCCTGTATCAAAGACCAGGCCAGCAAAACCGAGAGCCACATTTTGAACCCGGATGAGGTAGAGAACCAAACAACTGCTGAGAGGTTTGTCAAAAGATTACACAATTCATTATAATACTCTAGCTTAAGTAGAATCCCAGCTAACAAAAGAATGTTGGTAATGCGAACGTTCCGTTTTATCATTTTGTAAACATTATCAGAATTAGGGCTGCACGATTAATCGAATGCGATTGTCATGCGCATTTTGATAGTAATGCCGGTTCTGTAATCAGCAGGAAATCATCATCATGTGCTTTCAGATGGAGCAGAATTTACTACACATAGCCGTAGTTCACTGACAAGTTGCGCAAAGAAATCGCAGACACGATTATGAAATCGAAGAAATCGTTCGAGATAAAGACAGCTGTTTGCATAGCTTCTCAGTGAACTACGGCTCTGTGAAGTAAATGCTGCTCCATCTGAAAGCATGTGAAAATACCACATTTAATAACATATTTTTACTCCAAACTCACTTCATAACGTCAGTCGAGTGTTTGAAATAAATCCTTCTGTGAGATGATGTGGCTTCTTACACAGAATAAGGCACACAACATATTTCATAGTATTTAAGCAGTGATAAAGGCATTGCATTATAAATATACTTTATTTTAATGAAAATTATAATAAGAACTCAGATTAACCGTATATTGCCGTAGTCATGTGTTTATTAGTCACGTTGAATCAATGAAAGCAGTTGAATCTTCTGTTTATTCAGCTGCAGCGGTTTCTTCTGCGAGGCGTATTTGGAGTTTCAGCGCGAGAGTGCCCTCTGGCCTTTGGATGGAGATTTACTGCTGATCACAGAACCGTGCTTCACTGAAAGATATGCATGACAATCGCAGCTTCTGTCGAATCGCAATCTCGATTCTATTTCGGTTTATCGTGCAGCCCTAATCAGAATGTTACATTTGAATGTTCATTTTGCAAACTTTATCGGAATGTTACAATCAACATTTGGAAATAAGCCGCAATATATAAAAATGTTAGACGAATGTCCAACTAAAATGTTTCGAGAAAAAAAAAAATTCCATGGACGACAGATAAATGTTTTTGTGCTGAAGTTTTGTGAACATAAAGACCAGACCAGCTAGCAAAAATATGTTGCTAACATTCCCATTCAGTTACGAAAATGTTATTTCGGAATGTTTTCTGAACATCTTCTTGGTTATGCAAACGTTAAGGGAACATTCCATTGGAGCCCTAATCAGAATGTTACATTTGAATGTTCATTTTGCAAACTTTATCGGAATGTTACAATCAACATTTGGAAATAAGCCGCAATATCTAAAAATGTTAGACGAATGTCCAACTAAAATGTTTCGAGAAAAAAAAAATTCCATGGACGACAGATAAATGTTTTTGTGCTGAAGTTTTGTGAACATAAAGACCAGACCAGCTAGCAAAAATATGTTGCTAACATTCCCATTCAGTTACGAAAATGTTATTTCGGAATGTTTTCTGAACATCTTCTTGGTTATGCAAACGTTAAGGGAACATTCCATTGTATCATTTTGCAAACATCATGGAGACGTTACTTTTGAATCTTTGAATGTTCAAAATACGTAGTAATATTTAAAAATGCTAACTTTGAACGAGTGTTCTATTATTGTTACTGCAAGAACGTTTGTTCGTAACTTGTTAGCTGGGATTATGTCGTAACTCGTAACGCATTTCTGGGTGGCTAGGTGACATTCAGAATATTACATACTTAAGCAAAACAGAAGATTGACTTTGTTGGAGATTTTAACCATCAGAAATGCAAATAAAGATCTTGATGGCGTCAGCGAATAAAGAAAGTCACTGAACAAGTTACATTCTGATGAAAGATTATGAGCAATTTTTTAACTTGTACATTGTACAACTTGTGGTCATTCACAATAGGAACATTTATAACGTTTCTATAAATATAAAGTATTTTTGGATTTCATATTGGATTTACAGCCATTTCCTCTATTTTAACCAGACTTGCATCAGTTCTTGTTACAGTTGTGCTATTATTCTTTAAAGCCTGGTGTCATCTCATGTTCCTCTGTGAAATCTAATTCACTTCAGCTCCTCTGACATGCACACTGTAAACGCGTTTGTTTGTTTGTCTCAGGTTGTTAGCGCAGCTCGATGAGACGGAGAATGCGTTTGAACAGTTCTGGTCGAGGCATCACCTCAAATTAGAGCAGTGCTTACAATTACGGCACTTTGAGCAGGACTTCAGAGAGGTACAATGCAATGGATGTGCCTCTGTATACTTAGTAGGCAGCCATTATATACCAAATATCCCTGGAGCGGTTGACTAGTCAACCAAGCTGAAATTGGTCTGTTGCATCTATTGTAACAGGTGAAAGTTTCTCTGGACGTCCTGATGGAGACCTTGCTGGGCCTGTCTGACACCGGGGACTGTGTGGCTCGGGTGGAACATCTACTGGGGGATCTGAAAACTTTGGAGGACAAAGCTCAGGTCAAAATCTTTTGAATCTGAAATCAGGCCTGGTATGCAAAGCAGTCCATTGAGTTTACATGGTGGGCTCAACAATAACCATTTGTTCTGCTGGCTGGGTTAAACCAGTAGTTTCCCCAGTCACTGTATAAATCCCCCAATCACTGTATAAAAACATATTTATATAATCCTATACACTACCGGTCAAATGAATCATTGAATAATTAATATTTTTTAAAAGAAGTTTCTTTTGCTCACCAAGACTACATTTATTTGATCAAAATTACAACAGAATAAAATAACTGTTTTCTATTTTAAAGGTTCATATGATGTTTTTTTTTGTTACTGAAACCACGCCTTCTTTCTTTGCGTGCACATTTGGGCGGCATTATGCAAATATTTCCACATAGTGAGGTAGATATGTGGGGGCGTGTTTGAACGAGCCGTTTTAGGGGGGCGTGGCAGAGTCTTAACTTTGATAAAGAATATCTCTTTGGTTTTGAGACTTTAGTCTTTGCAACTTCAGGGATCTTATCTATGCACAATCAGCTTGTAACACTCCAAAGAGAAAGGAAAACTTGAAATCGCATCATATGACCCCTTTAACATATCGTAAAATATAGTTTTTGTGATGGCAAGAATGCATTTTCAGCATCATTACTCCGGTCTTTAGTGTCACATGATCCTTCAGAGATCATTCTAATTTGATGCTCAAGAAACATGTCTTATTATTGTATGTTGAAAACAGTTGCTTAATGTTTTTATTGAAACCATGAAAGACTACCATTCAAACGTCTGGGTTAAGTAAAATAGGGAAAGTTAAGTGACAATATATACATTTATAATATTTAAAAAAGACAATTTTATTCACAGTTGTATATTTTAATTTATTCACATTCATATATATTTGAATTTTTAAACAAATTGAATGTTTTTATTAAAATTAATCTTTCTTTTGTGTTTGTTTATACATATATTTCCAAGGATTAAAAACACAAGTGATACTGCATATCACCAGCAAAACTGGTTACCAGGGCATGTTTTGCATGAAAGATTTTACTCTACCAAGCAACCAGTTTATCTAGAAAGATAAAGCATGTTTTTTCTTGGCCTTTTTCAGAATGCCAAGAACGTGCAGGTATTGTGTGAAAGCATGCGGTACATAGAACTGAACTTCAAGAACGAATAAAAGACATAAACATAGTGTTGCTGTGACGACACTGCAAGTCAATTACTAATAACAGTCAAGATAGCAGTGTAAATCATTCCTCATATGTTGAGCTTTATTGTGTTTATTGATCTGTACAGGAGTCTTTGGAGAAAGCTCAGCTTCACGCTCAGCATGGTGACCAGCTCATTCAAAGTAACCACTATGCCGTGGACTCCATCCGGCCGAAGTGTGTCGAACTGCGGCGGATCTGTGACGACTTCAGCAATGAGGCCAAAAAGAAACGTGACATTCTGACCAAATCACTTGAAATCCACAAACGAATCGATGAGGTTCGTGAGACAACACACATCCTGTCAAATTACCTGTTACCTTACTGTTATTAAAAACAGTAAGACTAGTTTCTGCATTATATATATATCTTTATTTATTTTTTTTGCCATTTTAGAAAATGTAATTTCATATAAGAGTAAAACAAGGATCCTGTCAAATTACCTGTTACCTTACTGTTATTAAAAACAGTAAGACTAGTTTCTGCATTATATATATCTTTATTTATTTTTTTTGCCATTTTAGAAAATGTAATTTCATATAAGAGTAAAACAAGAAAAAGGTTGAGGAAAATAAAGAAAAATATAAAACTGTGAATTAACAAAATTATATTTTGCAGTGCGTTTCAGAAGTATGACTTGGCAAGAATTGCACAATTGTGCTAATGTACTGTATATAGTATATTATTTATATACTATTCTATTATCTATTAATATTCTGAATTAGCTTATTCTTATATTTTCATTACGTTTTAATAATTTATGTGCTTTTGTTACTTTTTAATATTTTTATTTATTTTGAATGATTTTTATTTCAGTTTTAGTACTTTTAGTACTTGCATTTCAACTTATTTTAAATTTCACTTATTATAGTTGCTAAGGCAACATTTTTAATTTTTGTTCATGTTTTTCAGGTTTAGTCGAATTTTTACAAAAAATGTTTCAGTTAACAAAAACAGTTTAGTTTAAGTTTTATACAGTAAAAAATGATTTTTCAAGCAAAGCAAGGATTAATGAAGTATGTTTTACAAGAAAATACTATTAAAATGTTTATGCTTAAAAATGTTGTTTAATTCAGTGTGTTACTACTTTTTATTTGTTTGTGAAATTTACACAATAAAAAATATGGTTTCTACTGCAATTTTTTTTTCAATGTAGATAACAAATAAAATGGCATGTGTGGGTGACTTAAATTTGATCTGTGTGCATAATAAATAAAAAACATTATAACAGCTTTCTTTAATAATTTTTTATGGGTTGTATAATATTGCCAAAAAAATTTCACTTATTATAGTTGCTAAGGCAACATTTTTAATTTTTGTTCATGTTTTTCAGGTTTAGTCGAATTTTTACAAAAAATTTTCAGTTAACAAAAACAGTTTAGTTTAAGTTTTATACAGTAAAAAATGATTTTTCAAGCAAAGCAAGGATTAATGAAGTATGTTTTACAAGAAAATACTATTAAAATGTTTATGCTTAAAAATGTTGTTTAATTCAGTGTGTTACTACTTTTTATTTGTTTGTGAAATTTACACAATAAAAAATATGGTTTCTACTGCAATTTTTTTTTCAATGTAGATAACAAATAAAATGGCATGTGTGGGTGACTTAAATTTGATCTGTGTGCATAATAAATAAAAAACATTATAACAGCTTTCTTTAATAATTTTTTATGGGTTGTATAATATTGCCAAATTAAATAACCTGCATTGATGTGCCTGTGTTTGTGTGCTGGCAGGTGAACCAGTGGTGTGAGAGTGGAGTGTATCTGTTGGCCTCTCAGGCTGTAGACAGATGTCAGACCCAGGAAGGTGCAGAAGCAGCACTGCAGGACATCGAGCGGTACATGAATTCAGCCAAAGAGCAGCAGCTCAGTCACCTCAAAGACCTCAGCAACCAGTATGAGATTGTCCTCTCAGAGTGGGTCAAGGTACAAATGAAGCGGATTACAGTTGAATACATTTGCATACAGTCAAATCCAAAAGTTTTGTCTACATTATTCAACTACATTAGTTAACATGAACTAACAATAAAAGTTATTCTAAAGCATCAATTAATCGTAGCTAATGCTAATTTCAAAATGTACTAATACATTTTTCAAATCAAAACTATAATGAAAGTGAATGGTGACCAAAAATTTGACTATTATATTATGTAACTAACATTAATAAAGATTCATATTGTGGAGTGTTACCAAATTGTTTAATATAGAATATTATAAATTACATAATTATTATATAAAAAATATTGAAAATTATATTAATTTGAACTGAAATATTAAGATCCCAGAATTTATAATGTATTTGATATATCCTCCTTTTAGTGACAGCAGCACTTATGCTGCCTGATCTCTCATTATTCAATGATTGATCTAGAAATAGTACTGAATATTAAATATTTCTAATTTATTTCAAATCTAGTTCAAATTTTTCAAAAGGTTAAAACTAGATGAATCCCAGATTTTAAATTGTGTTTCAGACTTTTGGAGCCCACTCTAGATGTAATGATCATCTGTTTGTGATAAATAACTGATTTTATATACAGTATAATCACTTTTATCTCATCCCATGCAGGGCAAAGCTCAAACCGCTCTGAAAAAGCTAGATGACGTTCAAGAGATGTTTGACAAAAGACATGCAAGTCTGAAAAAGCTTTCTGCAAAGCAAACAAGGCCAGTGCAACCAGTTGCACCTCGACCAGAATCTTCACCAAAACGCACTTTACCTAAAATCCCACATCACACTGCACCTAGTAAGTAAAAAAAAAAAAAAACAGGTGTATGTTGACTGAAATGCATACATGTCCAGACTACTAGTGGTTTAATGGTATATGTTTGTAATCTTATCACTTAACCTTTATTTTCCAGAAGCATGTCCTCATTTCAGGTTCATAACCTGAGTATTAAATGCTCAGACTTTGTATCCTGAATAATTTAAGTGGAAAATATGAATGCCTTCCAGCTTGTTTAACTCAGTTTTAAACTCAACAGCATCAAATCGCAAAGCTACCGAAAACTCCTGCCCCAGTAAGCAGCCCAGTGACACAGAGCTGGCAAAAAGGAAGAATATTCGCAAAGCCAAAGGTGGCATCAAGGTATATCAGTTTGTGTCAGTTACATGGTCACAATGCCAAGATCTGTCATTTAACTCTAGATGGTGCAGGCTGATGGGTCGTTAATTCAGACGGATGATATTCCAGCATTAAACTACTTGGCACAAGCTGATTGGTTCATGTTGCATACGCAGCCAATAAGCTTGCTGCTTTACATTTTAAATGGTTCGTTAGCATCCACTAAAGCATTTCGCAGTGCGCTTTCAGAGTTCCTCTGAAACCCTCCACCTCCCCAGCTCCACCTGTATAGCTCTACTACAGATTATTATATATGCTACTTGTGCAGCAGCAGTATGTCTTTAATACTCACAGCACCGTATCTGCATATGTATTAGCAGTAGCAAGTTCCTGTACTTGCTTTGCAGCAGCAGCAATAATCCACAACTACAGCAATAACCAACAGCAGCAGCAGCGTAGCAAATCTATTCCGCCAAGACCAAATACTGTACATTGTCTTATCGATTATCATGCTAAATTCTTCAGAAGGTTGTCATGATAGAAATGTTTTTTTTTAAAACATCTAATAAGCATTTGTATGTATAAAAACCTATTTAGCCTGGGATAAGATCTTGCCTTTAAAATATTTTACTGTATATCATTATTACACATTATACATTCAGCTCAAACATAAAGCCATTTTCTTTCATTTGAATCCTTTATAGTTTTTGACCAGCGTGTTCTGTCTTCCTGTGGTTTCTCACAGATTGAGGTCATGCATGAAGGAGGGCAAGGGGGTTCGAGTCTTGTCCTCATGAACAATGAAACCGAAGAGTCGCTTTCAAACAGACGCAGGTAAGAACGTGTCTTCTGAGAAAGAGCGTCTCACAAGATAAGGTGAAGTATATTAAGCAGTGTCAGAGATCCTCTTTATGAAAAGTACAACACTGTTT